AATGAGCTCCTGGAAGTCAGTGAGCTCAGTCTGGATCTGGGCACACCGCGTTAACTGTCCGCTCCCAAGGGTGCCTGTCACTGACCGCCTCTTCCCCCAGATGTGGCCCAGGGGCTTACTGTTCTCCCAGAAGTGGAGGAGGACCACCCCCTTTCTGCCGCTCCGTCACCTGAAGGACCTAGGCAGGCCGTCATTGCAGCTGGCCTCTAGCAGAGGTCTTGAAACTTGTGGGACTCACTTGTGTCCTCGTGAGTGAGATGTGAATGCCGTGGGCACCCTTTCTTTTGTGGGCACCTAGGAGTGAAACAAACAGACCCTTCCCAGCTGGGTGGCAGTTTGCAATGGGCCTGTAAACTGGGTGCTAACGGGCTTCAAGGGTTCTTGTTTGGTGGCCCCAGATCTACTGTCCCAAGGAGCTACCCAGTGATGGCAGCCACTAGAAATACAGAATCGGCCACATTCATGTGTAATGTTAACGTTCCTGGTAGGCCACGTTAAAAACGTAAAAAGGAACAGATGAGATTCACGTTACCAACATGATTCATTTAACTCACGATATCTCAGACGGTCTCGTTTATCATTCCACATGTAATCGGGATAGAAAAATGACTCTGAGATATTTTACATTATTTTTTGTGTACTAAGTTGTCAGAACCCAGTGTGTATTTGATACTCTTAGGGCACATATACGAATTCAGATGGGCCACATCTTACGTGCTCAATAGGCACATGTGGCTGGTGGTTACTTTGTTGGACGTGTCTCGCTTATAGACAGAGACTGAGACCCCCCCCCCCCGCCCCCCGGGGACGACGTGGAGGTGGCTTGGTGTGGGGGGCGGGGTCGGGAAGGCGGGGTCTCCATTTCGGTCCGAGGATACTGCCTGCCTGCGCCCTCTAGCGTCCGCCCAGCCGCGTTGCAGCCTGGGCCGCCCCAAAGCGCGCCGCTCCCTTGCTTTGGTTCTGACAGTGGTCACAGACCCCTTGGGACAGGACTGGCCCCTCCCCAGAGCAGCTGCGCTAGAAGCCAAGGCCGCATGCGGCTTGCCTCTGACCTGCTTACTTGGAGACAAGAAGGACGGATTCTCGGCATTAGTCCGTTTGTTAATGGGTCACCAGGAGAAAGAACCAGGTCTTATGCTGCATGGGAAACGGCACAAATCGCCTGTTTTCTGCTTGTCCCTCCAGCCCCTGCTTTCCTGCTCTACCCCAGACAGAGGAAGCAGTCATCCCCAAAAGCCCTCTGGTCCCTTGAAGTTCAGATTCGCAGCAGACGCCCTCCCAGCCTCACCTGGAGCGTTGGCCTTTTGTAAGGACTTGGTTCCTCCAGCCTTTCCCCATCTGTCTCTCTCCAAGTGTTTGTAAATCTGCGTGGCCCAGTGAGCTCTGGAGATCTCACTTGATGAAAGCATTTTAAAGCAATGGATGAAATGTGACCCACGCCACCAGCCAGCGTGGAGCTGTGATTAATGGCACATTCGAGCCCTTGGTTCCCAAGAGCCTCACCAGGCGGTTGGTAGAACTCTGCCATTAAAAAGGCTTTAATTTGCTGGCAGGACCTACTTCGGGTTAAATATTTTCCTAGGGTTCCCCAGCTACATGCGTGCTTTTTTTTTTTTTTTAATTTAGCACATTAAAAACAATAGCAGAGTCACCGAGAGCCAGAGAGATGGGCGTAAGCGCTACATTAACCCCCTCCCCGTTCCTTCATTACTGTGAATTAAAATGTCGTCTTTGACATGCTCGAAAGGCCGTTGCCTGTCTGATCCGAGCCCTGCGTGGCCACGAGGCTTTTGAAGCCAAGTGAGAGGTGGCTCTGATCCCAAATTGATCACCCTTCCTGGCACGTCCGTTCTTCGCCCCATCCGTCAGTGGAGAGGAGAGTGAGATTTTCTGGTCTACTGATGAGGGTTAGGTGTTTGTTTGCCTGGCCACCGGGGCCAGGGGAGGGAGGGGACGTTGCTGCTGGGAAATGGGGGTGGTGGCTTTGTCTTTGCAGAAACGCTGGCTTTTTGTCGTCTGTCTTTCCAGCCGCCCAGTCGTCAATAAGGTTGGTGCCTTGGCTTAATTAGTAAGAGAGAGATCACCGTGCATGCAGGGTTCCGCTGTCCCTGGTCCCTGCGAGGCCGGTTGCTTTGGGCCGAGAGCCTCCAGGAGAGAGCTAAAACGAGGCTCTTGGTATTAACCGTTTCGTCCGAGTCTTTGGTAAGCACATGTGAGCCGGTCCAGTGAGGGACTGGCAGTGCACGGGGAGATTTATTTCGTATTCATGGGCTTACTTCATGGCAGAGTGGATGCCAGCCGGGGGCACCGTGGCGGCCTCCATCACCGCCCATGGACCTGGGCAATGAAAGGGCCCGGGGAAGGTCACAGACAAGCACATGCCCCATGGAAGCCTCACTTCTTTGTCTCTAAGACGACAGAGATGACGTTGCCTTCTCCCGGCCTGGCCAAGCATGAACCCCACCTTCCCAGTGCCCTAGTATCTGGTGTGTGCTCCCTAGAGGTGGCCTGAGTTTGTTTGTTTACATTTATTTATTTTTGAGAGAGAGAGAGAGAGAGAGAGAG